TTACCGTGCAGATATTGCAAAATTTGTGTGAAAAAAACTACTGATTTGTTGAGCTTTATATTTCCTAGTCATTAGCTGCGTTTAGAAAAGCTAAATATGGGTTTTTAAAAAAAGATGTAAAATTGAAAATACCCAGACAAGTTTTTTTTTCTTCAAAATGTTCACAACGGTGTTTATATATTCTAGCCGTTAAGTAGATGAGATAAAGACTGCTGCATACAGAGCACAAATACTTTTAAAATTTTTATTTGATATATACGACAACATCTGGTTCTAGCTTTCCGGTATATTAAAAGCAAAAAAATATGTTTTTTAGTTAATTCGTGTTGAAAGTAAAAAAAAAAACAATTTTTTCAGCCAACTTTTGCTACGCTGTATAATTCTTTTGGTACTTATACCAAACTGCTTTCTTCACCTTAATTTCGTTTCTTCTGTGTTGGCACTACTTCTGGTATGCTCTGTTTGCAAAATTGTATATGGTGTACCAGTATTATATTTATTTACAAATCGATAAATTTATGCACTTTTTTTCATAAAGTTTTGATTGATTTCAAATATTATTGTAATGGGTTTTCAACAACGCTTTTAGTCCAGCAGTCAAGTTACAATGAAAACATTCAATAAGATTGATATACTTCATTTGTTTTTAAACTTGATCAATCAGTAATGTGACTTGCATTTCTTATGCACAGCATTGGAAGAAGACTTTTAAAATCTTTTTTTCATTTTGCTCTCACTGCTACTTTATTGGTGCTTTTGATGACACTTTTAGCAACATACGCTAATAGCTAACTTTTAAACATCAAGATAAAAGGTTATGCATTCTTAAATTTAATACTTTTCTATTCTTTAGCTAGTTTAGATACTTGAATACTAAGGGAAACCTGAACTTACTGACATTTTCGAGCGACTTTTAAAAGAAGCATCAAGTTCTAGCAGTGACTCACCGTCTCGCACAGCTTCTGACAAAAAAAATAGATTTTTTTTAAAACTTGACTCACTTGCTAAGATTGGAAGCAAACCTGAGAACTTTCATCTGTACAACTTTCTAGAGGTAGAAAAGCTTTGTTCATTTTACGTTTGTTGAGCATGCGCTACCAACATTCGGAGTAACATTAAACCATTATCTCATTAGTTAGGGACCACCGTAGGCTGTCGCTCGTCCGTTGTTAGTTGTAACGAGCTGAGAAAAGATGCCCAGGAGAACAAGCAGCTGATGACAACTCTCCGCAGTTTGCTAAAATAAGTAAGGCGAGTAACAGCGACAGCTTTAAACAGTCAAATCTTCTTCAAACTAGTTTTCTTCAAAGTTTGTTCATTTTAAAAAGGTGTATATGTCGGCGAACATCGGCAACAACGCTAAACTGATTATCGTCAGCATAAAGTAACTTTAAAATTAATTCTTTTGAAGCATTGAATAAACTAATTGGCTGGTAACAGTGAAAGGTCAAATTTAGATCTATAAACTTTGATTCCACTATTTGATGGTGACTAACCGGCAGAATCACAATGGTCTGGCAGATAAAACGATACTTCGGGCCAGAAACTGTAGCAAACCAGTCAGTAAAATAAGCACACCTAAAATCAAGCAGCTTACACTTAAAAAACAGAGACTAGCCATAGTCAAAGTTGGGAAAAAAATTCACTGCTGTATACTAACCAATAATGAAGAGACTAAGTGGAGTCTGTAGAGTAATGAAACGAAAAAAAGTTGCGACGTGCAGTGCGTGACGAGGTGGAAGAAGTTTTATAGGTGGAGAGCAATAATGCAATTAATAGGGAAGGTGAAAAAAATTCTTCCTCAATTCTACCACAGTTTTTTTTCTTAGGTAAGTTTTTAAGCTTTAATTGGCATATAATGAGGTTGAAGGAAAAAGTATAAAGCACTGTCATATTTGTATGCATGTTAAGCGCAGAGCTTTAGAAGAGCCGGAGAATGGAAGCGGAAGGGTCACATTTTAGCAACCGTTTTTGTTTCCCTAGGTTCTGACATAAATTTGAGCTAAGTCAGCGTTTTAGAAATTTTCATGACCCGTTGTCTTTTTTGAGAAAATATCTTTTTGTAATTTTTTTTATTAAATCGTCATCATTGATTTAGTCATCAGTGGTTACTTCTAGATTTACTTCGCACTTTACTGAAGTAGAGATCAGTCAGTAAAACGGTTTATTATTGTTGAAATAAATCTTTATATAACAGTGTAAACAAATTAAGCTCAATTTAATAAGTGACATTCTGAAAAAACTATTCCATATTTGGCTAAGCTTAAAAGGATATTTAGTCAGTTATTTAATAAAAACTGTAACTAAGAAGATATTTAGTTAGTTAGTTAATAACAACTGTAAAAGACTATGTTGAAAACAGATATTTAAAAATTTATTATAAAGAAAGATCCAGAGATTTTTAAAAAACCTGTAATAAATAGTCATAAAATGTAACGCTACAAATTGAAAATTAAAGTTTCAGTATAGTCTCAAGTTAATTAGCAGAAAGTTAGTGTAGGGTTCCAAGAATTGTAGTCAACAGCAGTATTTTCTTCGGACTACTGACGGTGAATAATTGTTTATAAACGACTTTTTCTTCAAATCTATACAAACTATTCATTAGTTCGGCTAGTGGTGTAGCGAGAAACAAACAAATTACAGCGCACCTATCACGTTTGCGTCACTTTCTTGCGTACCTGTCTTAAATCAACGATGTCATACTGAAAAGTTTGTGAAAGCTTTAGAAAACATTACTATTTGATAGTTCTTTATCGTATACGCAATTCATTCTATTACCTGTAAATGAGTAAAAAGAATTTGTTGTTGTGTGAAAAACACAAAAAATGCTGCTTGGTTGCCGTAATTGGTAACGCTAGATTCAACAAGTAAAGACAGGAATGGTAGTGAACTTTAACGGCAAGTCGGTAGCACAACTTAAGTCGCTCATCTGGATGGATAGATCTCAAGTTTGAGCGCTTAAACCTTTATTGTAAAAGAAAGTTGTCATACAACAAGAATGTTATGGCAAAGAAATTCTAGCATTAAGATAACTGCAAACAATATAAATTCATGACAAATAGAAAGGTACGACTGATTACGAATGACTATAGATTGGGTCTAGTTATAGAAGCAAAGAAAAAAAAGCAACCATAAGAAGCTAAGCCAGTGCTCAAGCTACTCAAAGAAACTTATAATAAGCTGATCATTTTTCTCAATACTACGCTCGCCTGGCGTGCGCGTACTACTAGTTAGTTACTAATTAGTATATCCAACCTTAGTGCACGATTTTCAGAAGTTGCTCTTCTTCTCCTTTTATGCTCTTTCACCTGCAGCTTCAGCTTGGCGTCTAAGAAAGTTATATTTGGTTAACAGATCGATAATACTCATGAAAGTAATTAGCTACAGGTTGTGTCTCTGCTCCGCTTTTTGTGATGAAGAAAGAAAGAAGTCACGGTTGAGAAAAAGGTTGAAAAATACAGATTTAGCTCAAGAGAAAACGCAGTTAACAGACGAAGCCGAAAAGACGAAGAAAAGGAGAAAAATAGTTTTTGTATAAAAAAAATCTTCTTCTTCAGAAGTAAATATCATTTCACCTCTGAAGCGAACCAAATATAAGCCTCTTAAGTAAACAACAAAGTTTACGTTTTTATTTTTCTGAATCATATGCTCATAAGTCAAAATGTAATACTGACTCTCAATATATAGTCTCATTTGAATTCAGCTTCTCTTGGTCCATCATACGTTGTTCTTACCTTTTTAATTCTTGTGTGAACGCAGGTCAGTCAGGCAAATAAAAAACGTTATTTTTCAATTTACGTTTATTTACTTGTTCAGTAGTACTTCTAAGCAACTCGCACTATATTATGTCGTCAAACTTATTGATAACTTTTCTTTATTTGATAGATTAGACCGCTCTTTGTCACGAACAACACAAAAGACAATTTTCTGAGGAAGGTTCGCCAAAATCTTTGGAGGTCTAGCTAAAGACGTAACAATTGTTTTTAAACCTTCAAGTTTGATAAAAATGCTCTGATGCTTCATGACTGTCGTTGAAGATAAACGATTTATTTGTTTTTAACCTCTCTAAATCACAAATTGATTAAACGGTGCCTGCAATTCGTATTGTCCTCAGTGACTTTATTCGTCATGCAGAAATCATTCACTGTCGCTGCTGCGTTTTTCGTAACCACGTTACCTAACTTAGTGAAAACTGTGTCAATTCTTAATACTCATAAATCTATAAGTTTATATTAACAATTGATCGCATTCAGGATATATTAGTTTCTGACACTGCACTAAACATGCTTAAGTTTATCGCCGTTCCTATTGTCATGCCGAGACATAACTTCCTCTAGTCATCCAACAACTAGATGTTTGCTTCTGTTTTGGTGAACTAAACTGTGACACAACACAAAGCTCAAACGCTTAGAGATTTAACATGTTGATACCAGTTATCCGTGTGTCACTTAACTAGTCTTTCAATTACTATAGATTGCTCACGCCTGTTGAAAAAGATATGGACATTGAACATTTGTTTCCATTCGCTAAGTCACTTACGTCTGTTTATTTCCGTCTGTAAAATTACATCTTTAGCACTTTTTAGCATTATCTAGCTGAACTATGACCAATCGAGCACCTTGCCAAATCGAAGTCAGCTGACTGTTGAACTGATATTTTGTATTGTTTGAAATATCAATAATTTTGGGTTACTTTGCAATTAATTTGGAACATTGATCAAGTATAAAAAACCTTTTCAAAGATCTTAATGCATAGGCTCTTTTTTTCTTGATTTAGAATTCTATTAAATGTGCATTTTCTTTTAAAGGTGACCACCATTACAGAAAAAAGTACAGAGTAACCTTTTATTCTACTTTTTTTCGTGAGGTACCGAACATACTGTTCGACTTCTATACGGTTTCACTTTTTTCTTGAATAAACATCTTTTCTTTTTTGGATTTGTAGTAGTTTCTTAAAACATTGTACTCTTCATTTTCTCTTATCGGTCTTTTGATACGGTGACATCATTAACCTTTCTGAATTGCAACCATTTTTTTTCAAACCAAATTTTCACAATCTCATAAACAATATTCTTGAAAAATTTTTTCTGTGACTACCTTTTATGCATCATTACCGCTATTCGATTAGTAAAATAAAGCGTAATTGTTTGCTTCTTCTACCTTTGCCTTTAAACTTCTGACTTTTTTTCGTCATTTGGCACTGCTCTTTGAACATTAAATGAAATCACAACAATTATTCTGCTTCTTTAGCTACTACTTTAAATGTACATTAAGAGCGGTAATTTGCCATGGAGAGAGGAGAATATAAGGAAATTTAGACTGCTGGAATACAACAGGAATCTATAATGAGGAACGTTCGATTGATAATATTTTTTGTTTTTTGAAAGATGAAATTTTTAGCTCTGTAAATGCTTAATTACCTTAATATGTTGTCGGTACCATTAACTTCAAAGGAAAGTTTTGTTCACCAAACAACAACGCGCGGGTTTCTTGGTCAAAAGGAATGAGAGTTTTAGGCTGTCTGTGTTGAAAAAATCAAGCTAGCATATCAAATAAATATTGAGATACAGACTGATTATAATCTTACCTATTATAAATAAAATATAATATGTAAAAGTAAAGACTTCTTTGCCATTCTTAGTGTGATAAAGGTTGCCCAAATACCTTGACGGTCTTAACTTCTTGAATGAATGTTCTAACTCTGTTTCGACAACAAAATATTGTTAAAAAAAGTTTTATTCTTAAACCGCTGCTTATCAGCAAGCATTCTGTAGAAAATACAATCATTAAAATTATGTAATTCGTTGTCACAAATGATCGTGCAGTTTGAAGATTCTATTTGAAAAAATTTATTTTAAATGCAGAAAATTTAAATTTACACTCTTGCATATTTAGAAAAAGTTTGTCGCAGTAGACAGTTACTTCATAAGCTGTACTGTCACGAAAACAAAAAAGTTACAGTCTGAGGCCCTCAATGAATTTTAACAAACATGATCATTACTGCACTCCAGAATTCAAGCTTTCAAGTAATCATCAAAGTAATCACGGGCGCTTGAACCATGGCGTCCATAATAGCGGTCGTGGTCAGCTCTATGCATATTGCTGTTGTCGCTCGCGTGGTCTCCGCTATACAAATCATGTTTGCTGTAATCGTTATGGTCACTGTTGACATGACTTCCAAAGCCACCTTCATGATTTCCAAAACCATGGTTTTTTACTCCGTAGTCGTGCCGAGTGCGCCCAAAGTCATCTTCCCATAAACCTTCCCATTCGTTGTTTTGGTGATTACCGGTACCCTGCTCCACTCTGTCTCCCCATGAACGTTCTTTCACCCAATCACCATGACCACCGTATGCGTAATCGTTCCAGTCTGTCTTATGTCCTCGCTCCTGCTGCTTTTTCCATTTCCCATTATGCGCGTTATGGTGGCCAGCTTCAGCGCCGTTAACGAATGCGTGACTGTGCTGTAAATGATGTTCTCCATCATGATGCTTGTCGTCTACTCCATAGTTATAATGATGATCACGTCCTTCCTGATGTTTCTCGTGCCGATGTTCATCATGAAGGTCGTTATGTTGTTGGTTTTCGTGATGCTGTTTTCCATTATTGTCATGGTGGTCATCGCCATGACGGTCGAAAACATAGAAATTGTCGTTGTAGTTCCCTGAATATCGTGGCCAATAGTGATGATTCAAGTAATATGCTGAAAAAAAGAAATCGGTCTTTTTTCCTGGATTTGGCTAATAGTCACACTACTATATATCGAGAAAAAACCATTTTGTTAAATTTTATCGAGGTCTAGGCATTTTGACTACAAAACCAGTGCTGTTGTTCAAATAATCAGAAATTTAAATGTCGCAAAAAGAAAAAAAAAAGAAGAAGAAGAAAGGAATTTATATTTAGAATAATTAGTTTATTGTATTTAGTTTATTAGTTTATTGTAAGAACAAGTAAAGAAGGTGATTCCCCAAAATCAATAAAGTTTTGATCCGCTAACTTCGGCAAACAATTTTTCCCAATTTTCTTTCTTCCGTAATTTAAAACAATTTATCTCTTCAGTTTTTTTATTTGACTTCAAAAATAGACCTTTTTTGTACTTTCCTATGTGTGTTTGATTTTAGTGTTGTTCTCAACATTTCTTGAGCCCCAGTACTGCAAAAATGCAATTTTTCAACTTTTGAATAACTTGCTACAAAAAACATAGCTGTAGAAATTTTTATGAAGTACTAAAAGAACTAAAAATATTTTAGTTTCGCCAAACATTTTGTTCGTATTTTGCCCATTACTAAAACGTCACGCCAAGATCTTATTTTTTATTTAGAGAAAATAGTCCTGAAGGAGTTAAAATCTATAATTAAAAAGAAAAAAATTTCTTTTTAATTATAGATTTTAACTCCTTCAAACATAACTATTTAAAATGTTTTTCTCAAGCATAGATTGCTAAGTATGTTTAAGAAGTGAACAGCTAGATAGTTCTCTGTAGAAGCGCATGACCAGCCAGAAAAAAAAAAACCAGAGATTTTCAAAACTCTTTCATATACAAGAAATTAAGCATTTTTAATTATGTTTACATTGCTCAAAAAATTATTTCTTACATTTTAGCACTGTCTATATCTTACTCAAGTAAAAGTCAAGCAAATCTTTCTTCTATTTTAGCTTCTGTTCAATTATTAGACTAGATCAATTAATGCAATTAGCTAGATTGGTCCCGTAATTTCAAAAGGGAAAAGTGCACGGTTCAACTGAAACCATTCAGAACTGGTTACACTTCTAAAATTTATAAGGAACGTTGGTCAGTTCTAAAATTTGGGAAAAAATGATATAGATGAGTGGACAAATGAAAATAAGGAAAAGACGAAAGAGACTTACGGTAAGCATAAGACAAAGCAGCCAAAGCTAAACAACCGACAAACACAGCGGTAACCTTCATGATTTGTGACTGTGAGGGACAGTGTTTGCAAGAAATATTTTAGCCTTTTATATAATTGTTCAAATAGAAGAACAATGTATTCAACCACAACGATTTATGCAACCAGTTTATTTAACTTGCTTAATACATACTTTTCATTGACTTTCACTGTTTGGTCTTATTTTTTTCCTAGCAATTTTTCGTTGCGGTCTACTACTACGCTTTTTTCGTCCATCATGCTTTGCTGGTGACTACCAGTAGTGCTTCAAAATTATAAATTATTTCAATATAGCAAGAAAAAAGCAAAATCATTATTATTAGCAAAAATTGTCAAAATGTGGTTTACAATTAATAAAATTTCTTTTGATCTTACAATTCTTTTAAAGTGCAAATTATCAATTAACAAAGAAAGTGGAGGAGGGGAAGTAAAAGAAAGAAAAGTGACAAATTTTGGTAGCAAAAAAGACAAGACTGTAATTTCTGAAATTAATTCTGCTACAATAATTTAACAATAGCAATTCATTTTTTAATGATCAGTTTTGTCAGTTATATAATATTGGCATTGTAGCCTTACATAACGGCAACAGAAGTCCTCTTTTTTTCCATTATCTTTATATCCTTTACTTTTTGTTCTTCAGAAAATCCTTGATTAGTTTTGATTACGAGAGACGTTTACAATGACGAAACTCCAAAAATTAAATTCAGGCAAATTAAAAGCAGTTTTGAAACAGAAAAAGCAGTTTTGCACATTCCTGATCAAATGAAAACACCACTCCCACCACAATAATTGTTGCAGCTTCCAGATACTTCATACTTGGTTAGTTCCACTCCCTTAACTCCCGATAAACGTTTCCAGAAAAAGTATACAAGGAACATTCAAGACGCAATCACTATGTAAATACAGCTAGGATCCTGTTGCCCTCTCCCACAGTTCCAATTCCAGGAAGTATAACACCCAGTACCGGCTTAACGATGATGCTGTAACGCGTTACTGATTACTAAAACTAACTAGTTGATCTGCAATACTGTCCAAGCCTGATCATTCACGAGCATTTTGAAAGCAAATGGTGGAAACTTACGACAAAAGAACAACTTTATGCAACATCGCTCAAAATCTACAAAAGCAGTTAAAACACATTTTTAACAGCCACATTTGCAAAATGAAACGAAGAACGATAGCAAGCAAAACTTTATTAACAAAAAAATAACTTTAAAAATCTAACAAAGAGCTATCAAGTTCACAAAGAAAACGGTATCACAAAAATAATAGAACTTAATTGATTTGCTGAAATCAACCAATAACGAATTTTAACAATTTCAAACTAATGTTAAGTCAAACGACTTGTTTTTTGCTTCTTTTTACAAGTTTAGTAATAGAAAAACGTGAAAAAAGTAAGACTTTCAAGCGCCTACGCTGCACTTCAAGATAGGAATAAAAAGCCTCAATTTTTTTCAACGCTGGTAGAGCATTTGTCGTGAGAGGCAAACCAGTTTATCAA